GCACTATTTGTGTGAAACCTGGTGGCAGTTTTCTTTATATGCTATTTTGCGCCATGACCACAATTGCGATTCTTTGTCCATCGTTGTAATCGACCAACCGATTCTGAGTCCTCGACTATCATTCCTAGGCTGTTTGGTCGACAATCATCGGTCAGGAAGCAGGTTTCGTGCTTTCTTACTCCAATTCCTTTCTACTATCAACCTAGTGCTCGTTTCTATTGTTGTGTTTGTTGCGTCAGTTATACATGGGTACAAGAAAGCAGTAGACGTACCTAGCTAATGTGAATTATTGTTATTTCTCTCGTATTTACATGTTTGTTTGCTTATTTGTAATGACCGAAAGCCAATGTGTGTACATTGTCATCACAAATCCATCTATTGTTGTCCATGCAAGTCATAAGTGTCTTTGGTAAAGAGAGAGCATGCATTATTCCATTCTCATACAAGATTCACCTATCAATGGTTCATTCGATTCAATCAATCCTTCCAAGTTCAGAAATCCATTTATCACTTCCATGACTGTTCTATCCAAACCCAATCAAGTCATGTTCAATATTGTGAACTCAACCAATGTGGTGACAAACACCAATGGTGAAGAGGTAACGATCTCGCCTGGTTATTATGCACTGACTGAAATCATTGCCATTCTGAACACCATGATTAATACTACATTCTCAATTACCACAATGGATACAAGTTATGAGTGTATTTGGATCCAGTCTCCATATTCTATCGATTCCATGAGGTACATATGATATCGAAACGATCATCGCAATGTTGAATGCGAGTGATACTCTATTTGAAATAGAGTATAGTGGAGAAAATGCATTTCGAATCTATAACCAGTTTGTGATTCTTTTTCTGACACAAGTTATTCATTCCTTGAATAAAGTGATTCATTTATCGAGGTGTGTGTGGAACATGAACGAAATCAAGGAACTATGGAAACCAGCTAAACGAAGAGGTGCCACTCGAGTGATCATCAGTGGATTCAAACAAAACATATACTTCATCGATCTCATCGATTTCTCTTCCAAACAACACAAATCGATACAGGAAGTATTAGGATCACAAAAGAGTACCGGATTCCACAAGAATCGTGGATACAAATATGTCCTTGTATGGATTGATGGATATTCGAAATACCTGATGACTGGGAAATTGAAAAGCAAGAGTGCTACAGAAGTCACTCATGTGATGAAGGACATCATTCAGACATATGGTGAATCACCAAAGCATATTTGCTCGGATCGAGATACCGAGTTCACCAATGCCAGCTTTCGTACCAACATCTTGAACAAGTATGATATCACCATGTATCACATGGATTCAGCGAATAAGGCAGTACTAGCTGAACGAACAATTCGAGATATCAAGGAACACATCATGGTTCCTTCCTTCCATTCAATCAATCAATGGAAAGGTGTATGGTTTGATTTGACCGATGGTGCAGTTCGTAGACACAATGCAAGGAAGAACAGAGACATCGGATATACACCCAATGAAATTTGGAACAACAACAACGATATCTTGTACACGGAGAAATCAGAACCATCCAACATGTCAGCAAAGGACACAACACCTCAATTCGATGTGGGTGATTATGTTGGAATGACACGAAGACCTCGCATTCTGGAAAAGCGATCATTGACAAGCAAATGGTCTCAGGACTTGATTGAAGTGGTTGACATTGACGATCACGTCATGCCATTGATGTACGAAGTGAAGAATGTGGAAAGCAATAGCACACAGAAGTGTTATCATTGGGAACTGCTGGCAAGCAAATGCAAACCACAACCAGCACCGCCTGTCACTCGATCCAAGAGTCGAAAGGAACCCAATGCATTGAGAGAGGCAGCAAGGTCACATCGACCCATTACGAGCACCCAGAAGAAGAAACAACCTCGCTCAGATGTTCGAAAACGATCGTGATGCTCTTCACACCTCTCAGACATACAAGAGAAGGGATATTCGTGAATGCAGAGATCATATGACTCTCACTTGTCCAATCTATTCCATTTATCAGTTTGGTATGGGAAAGGATCACAAGATTGTTGAGTGTATCGATGAATGGCATATCGAGCAAACACACACCATCCATTGAAACACTCACCTTGTATCCCTTATCCACAACCGATTCGATGGAATTACAATGTTTGAATAGGTCATCATTCTCATTGTAACATGGAATCGATGTGATTATGATAGAAAGCAGAAGATAATTCGAATTGGCATTGATTATTAAATGGTTGAGTGGATGTGTGTGTATATTCAAACAGTGTGGCCTTATTGACTTTCACAAAACACCCAGAAGGTATCGTCCATGAATATTGATGAACGCCATCCACTGTTTCACGAATGAGGACATGTTTGCCGTCGTTTTCGGGCATGTTGATGAGCATGTTGTCGAGCTTCTTGAACGTGTAATTGTTTGGATTGTTGCTGAATATGTACGACATTTATCGATTCAATTTACTTTGGTTGATTTCGTTCATAGGGTTTAATGTATACACTCTTCAAGCAAGCTCCATTCATTTTCGAATATGTGAACATATTGAATGAGAAACGAGCAAAATCCAAGACCATTGTGGAGAAGAAACTCTACAAGCTGTTGGCAAACTCGACACACGGCAAATATGTGGCGACTGGATTGAAACGAATGAAAGTGGAGTTCGTCACCACATTGGTCGTGTCCACGTTAATGAATATGACTTGATTGGGTTTGAATAGCACAGTTCTGGATGTGACGTATGGATCCTTGAACTTGCAAGGGTTAATCCATTCGAATGTACCATTACTAAGTGAATCTTGTATGAAAATGGAGTAATGCATGGGTAATCTCTATTTAACAAGGGATGGGACGCGAGGTGATAAATTGCGCGATGTGAATAAGCCTATTTTTCGACCTCATTCTTATGAAGGGCAAAAATACATATTGCCTTTGTGAGCAACAAGAAATACTCGTTGCAAGGGGTTAAAGGGCGACTTTGATCGGAATCATATTCGCGCTCTCATTGTAAATTACACACTACTAGTACAACTTCAGTAAGGTATTCAAGAAGATAGATAGATAGATAGATATCAATGTCTATTTTCTATATACATATATCTATATATCTGAAAAGTAATAGTTTGATTGTTGCCTCCAACAAATAATCAGCCAGATATGTCTCACAGCTTGATATTGGACAACTACTCATTCCCATAGAGTCCATTCTTATGGATTTCAGCTTTATCATCAACAATACTGATATCACTATTAGTGAGTAATTCTATTCATCCTAATGAGTTGGGAACCAAAGCATTTCACTTTCATCAACCAACTCAAACAGCAAGTATTATGTATACTATTGTTATTCATGCTCGTAATAGAACAACATTGTGAATCACTTTGTATCCCTATTGAAGTGGTGCACAATTCGATCCTTCCTTTAAATAGGAGATATTCTGCATTATTTGGCAGGTGGGGGATACTATATGGGTTAGAATAAGGGATAGTATTCTCTGGCAATATAACAATCTCTGATAGGTTCAGAGTGCATCAAAACGACAAAAACTGCACACCAACTATCGAAAAACCTAGAAACAGTGGAATATGAATATATCTCTATTTGTTCGTATAAAATATATTATGTATTCTACATTATTTTGCTCAGTTCTTCAACGACACACCCACCTTTCTCACAAACTCTACTATTCGATTCTACTATACACATATCACATATTATTACTATAAATGATAACCCAAAAACTGCTTATCGCTAGCTTTTCCATTTTCATTCCTATCATCATCTTCTACATACCCTATTTCTTTCTATCCCATCTATATAAAATTCCAAATGAATAGAACGAAAAACAAAACGCTTCCACTGGAAACAACACTCTTCGATCTATTCATTCCACAATATCCCATTTCCGCTCATCTCCTTCCACTTCACAGTAAAAACAACTCCCTCCCTAAATAATCCAGTTCTTCCATTCATACCCAATTTCAACACTATTTTCACAATTCCACAATTCTTCTTTATTTTTGAAACCATTTATTTTACAATAAAAGCTATTAGCTTAGTCTTACTGGGTTTGAATGTATTCAAAGTTTGTTATTGGACTTGTATGTCCTGTCTTTTGTTTTCCGACTTCTAGATGCTTTTGGCCGTTGTGTTTTCGGAGGGTAAATATTGTAGCTCCGATGGCTTCTGGCCTCAAGTTCCTGTCTTTGAAGAAGCTACCGTAGCCTGCGATATCGGTTATTTAACCAGAATGTGTATGGGAGATATGCAGTGGGGACGCATTCAGGATCATAACTGCCGTGGACCCTGGTTCCATTTTTTGATCTGTAGAGTGTGCTCCGAGTGAAGAAGTTCCTGTGCTTCAAAATGTGAAACGTGGTGAGACCATTCATCACATGTGCGACCGCGGGTACATCGAGGTAACTTGCAACATGACAGGTACCTGGGACATGAACGACATTATTGCCTACGATTGCTGTTTCTCGTGTTTTCACATTGTGACGTGGTAGACTGTGCGAGAGACAACGGATTTGCGATGACTGAAACGGAAAACTATGCGAGCAAGACCTGTACATTAGGAGAAGCGGAGCGTCTGTGCAACTTCGGAAAATGGGACAAGCCGGACTACGCGAACTGCTGTAGGTAAGCTCCTCGCCTCTGATCCTAGTCAACTACAACCACCAGTGCCAGCAGGAGAGCTACAAGACGGTGCAGTTCTACATCTCGCCATCTGCGGGCCACGCAAACGTGGAGGTGTGCGTGCTGCCGGTGCCTCGCGCGCAGGAGGACGACGAGTTCACGATCGACGACATCAAGAACAAGGGTTCCTGCACGCAAGACGTGGACGCGAACGGGCAGTACTTCCTTAGCTTCGAGCTGGAGCCGGCGAGCTACACGGCACTGATCTACGCTCACAGCGATTACTCGTTCGTGAGCATTCCGGCGCTGAGCCCGCTGCTGCAGGGAAATCGGTACGCGTTCCAGTTCACGATGCAGAGCTGCGACAACACGGCATCGTTCGAAGACTCCGATTCGTACTCGGTGACTATCAGCAATCGCTATGTGTGGTCCGGAGCGGAGCCTCCGCGTGTTGTGGTCTACTACACGAGCGATTTGTCCCTCACGCTGAAGGACATCGCGCTGTTCGACAAGAAGGAATTCACCGGAATGACCGGACTGGCCAACCATCTCTTCCAGATCGCGGGGTTGGAGCCCTTTACTGAGTACCAGATCTATGTGTTCGTGGAGGAGGCCAGCGGATCGTCGACGGTTCGTCCTCTGGTGTCGAACCGCGTGCTGGCGACCACGTACGGACTGTGTTCGGATGGCGATTGGCCTGCTGTGGGTGTGGGCATGGAGTCGCACCTGAGCTGTACGATCGGATACCACGCCTTCTACTGCTCGAAGAGTGCCAACTTCAATGCGACGTTCACGACGCGGCGCGATGATTGTTACTGTCCGGAAGAAACGGTCAACGGGTTCACCTACAACCAGACTGCCTATGGCGACTATGTGATTGATCCGATGGGAAAGCGAATGTGCGGATGGCGCGGTATCTGGGATCCGCTGCCCTCGATGAACTGTAAGGCGGAGGGACCCTGGCCCGCCACCTACGACGGCCAATACGCCGTGCTGACCTGTGATAATCAAGGATCTCTGCGACGACTGTGCAGAGCGGGAGAATGGCAGGAGATCGAAGACATGAACTGCAACTGCGGAAGGAGGGAGGAGGACGGCATCGTGTGGTACCCCGCCAACCGCGAAGAAACGATGCAGCACGACTGTATGAGCGGAACGGTCACGCGACGCTGCAGCTTCTACGGACAGTGGGAGGAGCCGATCGGCCACGACTGCCAGTGCACGGAGGACGGAATGTGGGGCGTCCAGAACCACAACAGCTCGCAGACGCGGCCGTGCGGTGAGGCGGGAACGCCGGGCAACGTGGTGACGCGTCTGTGCGGATTCAACGGGTTCTGGGGCGAGGAGGACTTGAGCCACTGCGCCTGCGACCCCAAGACCGAGAACGAAATCACCTGGGAATCCACGTTGGTGAACACAGCTGCCTGGATTCGCTGCGAGATCGGCTCCAAGGCGCGCATCTGCGTGCCGTACGGTTTCTGGGACACGCAGATCGGCGACTATGGCTGCATGTGTGCCGCGGATATGGGGTGGCCCGACACGCCCTCCGGAACGGATGTCGCGCTGCCCTGTCCCGATAACGCCCTCAAGTTCCAGCGACGTCGCTGCATGCAGAACGGAGTGTGGGGAGACGTGGACGCGATGGGCTGCTATGGATCGTGTCCTGCGTATGGACGATTCCCCGTTACGCTGTCTGGAACAACCGCGTCGATTGCCTGCGAGGAAGGCGGCGGTCGCGTGCTGATGGACTGTATGCGGAAGGTGGACGCGAACGGCGAGTACTATGGAGAATGGGACTTCGAGTCGTGGCGTGTGGAGGGCGAGTGTCGCTGCAAGAGCGTGGACGAGTTCCCCTCCGCATTCATCGATACCGACTCGGTCATTCAGTGCGACAGCGGCTCGCGTACGCAGAGGTGCGGCCGATTCACCGCGCGCTGGGAGAAGCCCGTCAACCACGACTGCATGTGCACGGTCACGGATGCTCCCGAGGGAATGCCGGAGATCTGGACGCCGCTCTTCGAAACGGCGACGGTGGACTGCGACGTGGGCAGCCGAACGGCGTATTGCGGCGGCTACGGCCACTACGAGAACAAGGACGCGTCGCAGTGCTTCTGCGGAGCGAACAGCGATTTCGAGCAGACGATGGCCGGTGCGATGGGCTCCGCGAGTTGTTCGGAAGTGGGAAGTCTGGCGCGCGAGTGCTCGGATTCGGGCTTCTGGGGCGTGGTGGATTATTCGGGCTGCTCGTGCCGCGGCCTCGACCAGATCACTGGCTATTTGCCTCTAAACTCGACGTACAATCACGAGTGTCCCGTGGGCGGATACACTGTCACGTGCAGCGAAACGGGAACGACGGTGCAGGAGCGAACGAACTGCTCGTGCCCCGCGATGAACGGCTTCCCCGAAACCCCTGCGGGCACGATCTTCGAGGAGCAGTGCGGCAGCCACTCCAAGACGGCGTACTGTGACCTCTTCGGCGAGTGGAAGAACATGAACAACACCTGCTTCTGTCCCGCGACCAGCGTGTTCCCCAAGGCGGGCTATGGCGAATATGTGGATGCCTATCTGCCGCAGTGTTACAAGGGCTATTGCAACCCCGACACGGGAGTCACGGAGTTCGACTACTCGGGCTGTAGCTGCGCGGCGATGGATCAGTGGCCCGCGATGGAGCACGGAATGAACATGACGATGGAGTGCGTGACGGGAGGCACCGCGACGGCGGTGTGCGAGATGGGCGTGCTGCGCGTGAACTACGATGACTGCAACTGTCTGGATGACAGCGGAAACGAGGTGGAAGTGGGCGACTATCTGAACTTCCCGTGCATGATCGGCTTTATTCTGAAGCAGTGCCGAGGCAACAATACGTGGTTCCATATTACCGACTCCTACTGTGGCTGCTCGTCCAACGCGACGGGCCTGGCGCTCTTCGAGATCATGGACGCCAACACGACGAAGCAGGTGCCGTGCGGTTCGGGAACGATGAGCATCACCTGCGACGCGACGGGCCACTTCGATCTGGACTCGCTGGTCAATCAGTGCAAGTGTCCCGCAGAGGACAAGTGGAGCGAAACGGATGCGGGCGAGTGGGCCAAGATCACCTGTGTCGACTCCCCCTTGAACGACGCCAAGCGCGAGTGCGGCGAGTTCGGCGTGTGGGGCGAAGCCGTCCTGCCGTGCGAGTGTCCCGCCGACGGCGAGTGGAGCGCCCAGCCCGCTGGAATCCACGAGATCGTGTGCGAGAACGGCGCGAAGATCACGCGTGAGTGCCAAGTGGACGGCTCCTGGCTGCCGCCGAATGGCTCCTGCAGAGACGACAGCTGTCCCGCGGATGGCGTGTTCCCCATCACACCCCATCTGGGCACCTACACCTACACTTGCGGCAACGGACACGTGATCGAGCGTACCTGCACAGCGGGCGTCTGGTCGACTGTGGACTGGTCGGGCTGCGGCTGCGCGGCGGACGGCGGCTTTGACGCGGTGGAGTACATCGATCCCGACCTGAACTCCATCACGGCCTTCCTCTCCTGCGGCTACGGGCAGCGCACGCGTCGCTGCACCAGCGGCATGTGGGAGGCTGTGAACTACGACGACTGCTTCTGTGCGAGCTTCGAAGCCTTGCCGCTCCGACCGGCCAACTCGACCTACAACCGAATCTGCGGCTCGGGAAGCATCGACGCGTTCTGCGACACGACCGGTAACTGGACGATCCTCCAGGACACCTGCGGCTGCGCGGAGGACTCGGACACCGTAGAGGACGTGGTGTTCCCCGCGGTTCTGCGCGGCGAGAGCGTGTCGGTGGCGTGTCTGTCGGGCTCGATGGAGCGTCGCTGCAGCCGCGCGGCGGAGTGGGAGGCGGTGGACTACGCGGACTGCCGCTGCGTGGCGGATGGCTGGACGGAGGCGCGGCCTACGGAGGAGGGCCAGCAGGCGTGCGAGGAGGGCTACTTGACCCGTGTGTGCAAGCCGAACGGTCAGTGGGGCGCGATCAGCTCGGCGTCGTGCGCGTGCGCGGCCAACGAGCTGTTCGACCGCACGGTGGTGAGCGCCTTCGCGGTGCACTACTGCGGAGTCGGGTCGGTGCGCGCGGAGTGCACGGTGTCCGGCTGGGCGAACGAGGAGGACGACGGCTGTTCTTGCGCGGCGACGAGCGAGTACCCGGTCACACCGCGCTACACGATCATGGAAGTGCCCTGCGGCGATCTGTTCGAGGGCATGAAGCGACGCGAATGTCTGGCGACGGGATTCTGGAGCGAGGAGGAGGACGTCTCGCGCTGTGTCCCATGGTGCATCGAGGTGGGCGAGTGGCCCGCCACGCGGCCCAACACCACCGTGGTGCTGGACTGTCCCGCAGAGGGCTACCTGGAAGGCTCCATCACGCGGTACTGCAACCCGAACGGTCTCTGGGAGGCGGGCGTGTCGACCTGCACGCCGCTGAAGTGCGAGGCGGAGGACGGGTTCCCGACGACGCCGTTCAACCAGACGGCCTCGAAGGCGTGTCCGGAGGGCATGGTGGGCTCGATCACGCGCCGCTGCAGTCTGGTGGGCAATACTGCGCAGTGGGAGGAGGTCGAGGACAACTGCCAGGACGCGTTCTGCACGATCGGAGACAACAGCTATGCGCACAACGAGACGGTGACGCTGTCGTGTGCGGAGGGCATGGTGGGTCGGAAGGTCCAGGTGTGCCGCACGGGCGTGTGGGAAGTGCTGGAAGACACGTGCGTGGCGGTGGTGTGCCCCGCGGACGAAGCGGCTGGGTACCCGGAAGGCTACTTCGGTCAAGTGTTCCATAAGAACTGCGATGTGGACTACTCGGGCATGATCACCTATCGCTGCAACGCCTATCAGCAGTGGGAATATGTGACGGGTTCCTGCCAGCCCATCCTGCCGATGCTGCGTTGTGTGCCGGCCGATGGCGCGACGGACGTGGCGCTGTCGACGATGACCGATGCCAACCAATACACTGTCTACTGCACGAGCAATGTGCGCGTGGGCGAGGTGATCAACGACCAATTCGAGCACATGAACATCCACATCGTGTTTGAATTGGCCGAGGCCACGTTCTCCTATCCCACCACCGCGATCTTCATCTCCGACTACACCATTGGCTTCGCCTTCGATGGCTCCTTCCCGCCGTCCTGCGAAGGCACGCTTTATATCAATGCCAACAGCTTCGTGTCCCGAAATGGCCTCACCTTCCCCGCGGAAACCCTCATAGCGACCTTCTCGACCCGCGCCGGCGTTCCGTTGGCGCCTCCTCCAATTCTGGAGAGTGCGATCCGCATCACGGAAGTGGACTACGCGCACCGCAGCGTGTCTCTGCAGATCGATGTTCCCTACAGCAGTGCCATCTACGATGAAGCGCAGATTGCCTTTATCGGCAGCAATCTGCAGAGCCAGTTCTTCCAGACGAGTTCCGTGTTCGTTGAGGGCGCTATTCTGAACAGCGTGATCCCCATCACTTGGCGTGTCCGCAAGGGCGCCTACTGGTCCGCCTTCGCGTCCTTCTCCGTCTACCGCCCCGTCGTGCTGCTGCCTCCCTCCGCGCCCGTCGTGGCTTCCTTCGAAGCCACGCAGGTGCGCTGGGTCTGGTCGGCAGGCGAGCTCTTCGGGCAGGCCTTCGTCGGTTACCATTACCAGCTCTTCGCCGCCGACGCGCTCCTCCAAGAGGGCGACGTCCAGCAACCCGAGCTGTCGCTCTCTCTTGAAGCGGGCGTGGCTTACTCGCTGCGCGTGGCGCTGTGCTCCGCCGCGTGCTCCATCCTCTCCGAGGCCTCCTCTCCCATCACCCTCGCCGCGTATGTCGTCGCGCCCGGCGCGGTGCAGAACCTCGAGGTGGCCGCGCTCTCCTCGACCTCGCTGCGCGTGCAGTGGGCAGAGCCGGCGGAGCTGGGCGGCGCCAGCATTCGGTACTACGTGGTGCGACGCTCGTCGATGGCGTCGATGGCCGTGATTGAGAGCGAAGTCACCACCACGAACTGCTTCCTGGACTTGCAGAACCTGCAGAACCTGCAGAACCTGCAGCAAGCGCCCATCTATCTGAGCGTCGCCGCGTTCAACGGCTATCTCTCCCGCCAAGAGAAGATCACCGCGGTTTTGGAGGCGCTGGCTGCGGAGTGGCGGTGGAATCAGGACGAGGGCATTGAGTGGGACTCTGCGGTGGCCATTACTGGATCCTTCAATTATCTCTGTACTGCCACGTGTGAGCTTCGCGCTCCCGCGTATTCTTCCTTCCGCCGAACCGTCTCGTTCCCCGCGGGACGCGAGGTCTCGTACGTGTTCGACGGTCTGATCCCCGCGACTTCCTACACGCTGGAGTGCGTCACGAGTGAAGTGGGCAGTGCCGAGTCGATCACTACGCAATTCTCCGTGTCTACGATGGCCACGTCGGAATTCGTTCCGGTGTTGGTGGTGGACGGCGAGCCAACCTCCTCGCTCACCGTATCGGTCTCCGTAACCACGAATCTCCTCGGCGATCTGGTCTGTTACGTGGCTCCCTACGAAGGTGTGCAGAGTCGACCGGGCTCTCTGGATCTCTTCCTGTCCAACTGGGCGCAGAACGCCACCGTGGTCTCCGTTACCGATCCCTTCCGCTTCCTCTTCGCCTACGACGTCACCGGTGCGCTCATCCGTGCCGACCTCGTTTATCACGCCTGGTGCGCCGTGGGTCGCGACATTTCCACGATCCAGACTGACGGCTCCATCCGTACCGACTACGTCGTCTTCCCCGATTACGCCGATTCCACGATTTCACGATCCACGCTGCGGCTGCGCCGCACGCTGCAGACCACGCCGTTCGAAGTGCTCAGCATCACCCCCGCGGAGTTCGCGCGCGACGTGGACCCCCACAGCGACATCGTCATCACCTTCTCGACCCCCGCTGAGCGCGGCCCCGGCTCGATCTCCCTGCGGAGCAGCCAGAACCACGTGATCCGCGTGGAGGAGAACGACGTGAGCTGCGTATACACGAAGTGCACGCTGCGACTGAGCGACGGACTGCTGCCGTTCGAGAAGTATGTGATGAATGTGGATGCAGATGCGTTCCTGGCGCAGGGCCAGCCGCTGCAAAATGAAGTGAAGAACTGGTTCTTCCGGACAGGAGGTGTGCGGTGCGATACGCGGTTTGTGGGTCGCGGGATGAGCGATGCGAAGATGTGTCAGTGCTTCTCAGTGGAGAATGCGTGCCAGTGCGAGTGTGGAGAGACAAGCGTGCTGAGAGAGTTGTAAGCATTCGTTTGTAGAGTTTTGTTTGTTGGGATAAGGGTGTTGTGTTGTGTTGTGTTGGAAGCAACATCATTAAAGATCGAAGTGAATCGTTTGTGTGGATAGAAAAACAAACAGGTAAACTCAAGGAATCTAATAGAAACAGACCAAACTTGCCTTCGCGATACATTTTTATGAACCTTCTCGCAGAAGAAATCGCATCCTGACCAAATCGATCCATCATTCGATCGATCAACACATCCACGTTATCCGTGGGTTCTTTCAGCCCCACTTGCTCCACATAACTAAAATTCTGCTTGGAATTCAAAAGAAAAAGAAGGTAGTCCGCGATCTCCCCCTCACCCACAACACTGTCCTTCACAGATCCACACAGCGCCAGTTTCATTCCCACTTCTGGGTCGGAGACGCTCGGCAGAAAGATTCCAGGCGTGTCGATCATGTAAACATCCGGATCGTTGTGGACTTTGGTCGAAGCAACGCGTTTGGTGATGCCAGGAACGCCTCCAACGTGTGGACTCTTCTCTGCCGGTAATTCCATACCGTGTACAGCTACTCTTTCGGAAATCCAACGAGGATTTTTGGATGTGCCGGATAATGCTGCTCTTTCCCACGTTTGGTATTCCCATAACCGCGAAATAGCTTCCCACAGAGACAAATCGCTTTTGCTTGATAGACATCAGAGTCGGAACGATTGCGTTCATATTCATTTTCGTTTTGGTGGAGGTGAGTAAAACGTGGTCATTGGTTCGTTTGTAATAATCAAGGAGAGCTCGCTGATCTTGCTTTGAGATGAGATCACTTCGATGTAACAAAATAAGTCGAGGCTTGTTGGCCAAAGACTTTTCTACTTCAGTGTTGATGGATGAAAAAGGAATCTATATCTAAAATAGGTGCTGTTTCTACTCGAGCATCTCGGACTTCCACCATGATATCAACATTGTGGCAGAGTTTCTTCACCGTGTTGAGTGCTTTTGTCATATGCCCCGGAAACCTATTCCTAAGTGAATTGCTAACAGGTTGTACCAAACAATATCATTTGAAAAGATAAACGAGGTGCGAAACAACCCTTGCATCTTTCCTTGCTCAAATCGATTTTTACCCTTTTGTGAATCAATGTTCTTTTTTGGATAAACACAAGGTATAATCAGTGATAGATTATAATAGTTTTTTGACCAAATGAGAGTTTGAAAATGGCATCTTATTCAGTATGTATGTTGAGATTATATGGCTATCAATTTCAATGCGTTTTTAATAGTTTCGTACCGTTTCCATGCTATTTTGTCGAATTGGAATAATTCCCCTCTTTTGACCTTTTGAAATCATGCGTTGGAAGATGTGCTATTCATTCAAAAACTTTTCTTGTGGATGGAATCGAATCGCTTTCTCTCCATTTCGCTTTTCCTTCTTTCGTTCTTCTATATTGCTTACCACACATTCCAACATTGCTGCTTATTTGATAATAAATAATAATTATTTTTAATGTTTTTAATCCAATCCAAAAACCTCTCCATACTCATCAACAACTTCCTTTATTTAACAAATACCCAATACATGAAATGGTTTATCTATTTTAATTGAAAGAGAAACTCTAATACTTTCTTGCACGTTGATATAGGAACATGGAAATCTTAGAATCTCTCACATCACAAAACCAAAGTATCCTCTTACATTCTCTGAATCCACTCTAACAAGAAGTTGAAGATCCGAGCTAAGAATCGATTGATAACGATGAATATCTTGTACAGCGTAGACTCGAACTTCGAAATACCTGCATTTTTCTCAATTTTAGCGAGTAAGAACTTTTTGGAGTCAATTGAAGCCTTTGTTTGAGAAATCTCCCTGTTGTATAAGCTGATCGTCGACTGCACTTTATTGATTCTTGTTTTCAAATTTTCAATACGAGGGTATTGCTTCTTTTCCATAGATTTCATCTCCTCATCCATTTCGTTGATGATGGCGTCTAGCTTCTCCTTTTGATTATATTCCCACATTTTTTACCTACAATTTCGTCATAGAGCCTATTTATCTCCTTTTTAAGGTCTTTTTCCTGTGTTTTCTACAATTCACTTCGAATTCGATATCAAACATCTTTCACCACTTCATTATCTACAGTAATCTCTATTTCCTCCGTGAACCCTATCGTACAGATAATGCACAAGACCGCAAGCCATAGAAGCAATTCTACTCTTCATCCTCTCATCCCGCGTGTACTCCGCATGCCACACCTCACTCCACAGTAACTCAAACAATACTATGTGAACAAACAACGTACCCATCATCAACTATCACCACATTTCACTCGCTTCTCCATGCTAATCTCCCTCAAATCCGTCACAGCTCGACTCACATCCATGAACCGTTTCTCCTGGTACGGCTTCGGCAGATACGTCTGGTTCTTGTTGTACCCATACTGATACCCCACTCCATACCCCAGCTCCTCCATGCTTTCAATCGGCGCGTTCCGAATGTGCAGCGGCACCGGCGGGTTCTCCCCCGTCCGCACCAGCTCCCGCACGCGGTTGTACGCCAGCGCCACCTCGTTCGACTTGGCCGCGAGCGCCAAGTACGCAGCACACTCGGTCAGCGCCAGCGCGCACTCGGGCAGTCCGATCGTGCTGCACGCCTGGTAGCACGCCGAGGCCAGCAGCACCGCGTGCGGGTCCGCCAGCCCCACGTCCTCCGAGGCCATCACCAGCAGCCGCCGAGCGATAAACCTACCGCCTTGATCGCCTGCTCTGCGCCTACAGCGGATCCTCGCCGCCCTCGATCATCCGCGCCAGCCAATAGATCGCCGCCTGCACGTCGCTGCCTCTCTAATCAAGAACCTCGCTACGCGCCCCACGATCGATTTCTGCAGAGCCGACGCGATGTTGTAGTGCTCTTCCCCGCGGTTATCGTACCGAACGAACCGCTGCGTCATCGCACTATCCACCATTTCCCGCGAAATCTCCCTAGCCGTGAGGGTTTCCACGTTTCCACACTTCTGCGGAGCGTGCAGAACGCAGCTGGCGCAGGCGTCCGCCAAATTCAAAGCCATTCGCGCGTCGCCGTCGCAGCGTTCCGCGATTATTTCCAAAATCTCGCTAGAAAAAACCGCCTAGGTTCGATGCATCCCCGCGGTTCTACGCCGCTTTTCTGGATGTAGATGTCCTCTGTGATGGCGCGTGTGAGAAGGTGGAGAAGATCGGAGCGGCTCAGCGGCTGCAATTCGATGACGCGACAGCGCGAAATGAGCGCCTGAAAGTAAAAAAAGTCCCGATTTTTGGACTTTGTTGAGGGAAAAGGAAGGGTTTTCGGTGGTGGCGCCGATGAGGATGAGCTTGCCGGACTCGATGGAGGGGAGGAAGATGTCCTGCTGCTTCTTGTTGAAGCGGTGGATTTCGTCCATGAAGAGGATGGTGGGAAGATGTCGAAGTCGATATTCGTTTTCCGCCTGCTCTGCGACTGTTCGGATGTCCTGAACACCTGCAGTGCAGCAGGACAGCGAACGGAAGGGGCAGCGAGTGTGGTGGGATATGATCATGGCAATGCTGGTTTTTCCGCAACCAGGAGGACCGAATAGAATTGTAGATGGAGGAGGATCGTGCTCGAGGAGGGTTCGTATAACCGCATCTTGACCAAACAAGTCAGGATTTCCCTAGAAGTTAGGGAATGTCGATTCTATAAACATAAAGATCTTTAAATTCGGTAGGACGAACTCGCTCCGCAAGGGGTTGTCTTTCGTTGTATACTTTTCGAGAAACCTTTGGACTCTGTCGTACACTTGCTGGTGGTTCGGCCTGGGACTCGATTTGAGTGAATGTTGGTTTTAGGGGAGATTGCGATAGGATTGATTCGGGGATTTTTTTAATTGGCGAGGCGTTCACGGATTTTTTGTTTAGTTCAAGACATTGCTCAATGTGCTCTTCAATGATTGATTTCGGAATCTGCACAGTATTGGAGGCATAGAAGGGGTACGTTTTCAAAGCACACTGGACATTGGAGACGCAGTTCCTCGGATGAAGATGAAGCGCCTTCCTTTTGAGATCCCTTGTGTTTGGATCGACTAAAGGATATGGTGGCCTGGTGGAGCCGTCGAGAACTCATCCAAGGCAAAAACTTAAAAAAATGGGAGGGAAACAAACAGGCAAAAAAGACAATGAACTAATACTCTAAAATCCGTAAGCGTTCTGATTCATACGCGTCGTTATCAGCTAAACGTAAGAGACGACCCAACGACCCTACCTGAATGACCATAGCGAGACCAACAGCAAAGTACGTTCCGTACTTCTGGAAGAACGTCTTGGGCTTGGCAACAATAATCTTCTTTCCCATCAGAATCACTCGCTCATCCGAATCCTTTAAATCAACCTGGAATTTCAGCATCTTTCCAGGAAGCAGAGACAGCTCGTAGTATGCGTTAGGAATTCGCTCAAGGGCACCTGAAGTGTACTAGACATAAGGCTGACAAGAACAAGTGATACAAAGAATTCATCCTTAATGAACTGGTCAAATTTGATAGAAAGCTGCTTTTTCACCTCCTCGTCCGCTCCAGGCTCAAAAAGATTCACATCCGCCGTAAAGTTGTCGGAGGTAGAAACCAACAGTTGGTAAGGCTTGCGCTTTTCTTCCCGGGTGGGGAGATCAATCTCTGCAAGCACCAATTCGCTGGGGATATCGCTTTTGGTCACATTGAACATACGTTGCTCTGAAAGACCAATAAGGTCTCCAGAAGAAATAGACACTTTCGACTGCATCAAAATCCACGATCCCTGAAGTTCATTGTACAAATTGAAATAGAAAGCCTTTTTCCTTGCTGCTTCTGCCAACGATAACGCACAAAGTACAACCAAAACGTAAAGACAACTCTTGTTCATTCTTTTATAAAATTGTGTGGAGGTTTGCGAGGGTATATTCCGTGCAGATAATGATAGATTGGCGCAAAGTGGCTTGCATTCGTGTTCTGCAGTTTATGCTCTGCAGTCTACACATATCTAACGAGCAAACGATCCATTCAGACCATTATTCACCAACTTTGCGCAGCCCCGTCAATCCACCTCTAAAATCGATTGGGCAGTACGAATAAGGTATTTCGCCTTGATACAAGGCAATACGCAATAGGGTCCGTTCGTCTTCAAAATGTCCCAATTTCTCCATTTCCCCATTGTAGTCATCTCGACAAAGAACTCAAGGGAAAGATGCATCCTCTTCTCATTGGTACTCTTGTATTCGTTATATTGGGAGTTGTCGGAACTCTTGTTGTTTTAGCGCTCTACAAGTGTAAGAAAATGTCTCGAACCGCAGCAGAGTAATCTTCGTTGTTTTCCCTTTACTGTTCAGAGCCGGAGTGATTATCGCGATTCTCTCTGCGGTGTGTATGTGGATGATTTGGAGTTGCGTGTATATGATGCAGGTAGGAGCACGCGTTTGATCTTGAAATTTGCAGATGAATCCTCTCCTAGCGCCCATAAAGAACGAAGCTGGTTCTAGATAAGAATTGTGCCCTATATTTCGTGTTTGTTGCTTCAAACATGGTACAAACTTTGCCGATGACTTACTAAGTCCTATCAAAAATAAAATCCATCATCATCAACATCGTCTTTCAAAAACAGGCGTTATGGTTGTGCTTCCCTCGGAGGCGTGTCCTTCTGAGGAATGTCCATCGAGCTAGGGTAATAGTAAAGGAAACATTGCAGGTCGGTATTCTGTGAAAACGGCACCTGGGTCAGTGCCTGAATATCGGAAGCCGGTAGATTTATAAAGAGATGAATCAGTCTCCTTCGCGTCACCCTCTCCTCCAAGGCCTACACAGCTCGCTCGATGCCCTTCGGCGACCCCGTAATGACCGCCTCGCGATAGAACTTGCCCTCGGGCACATCTTCGCGTCTCTGCAGCGAGATCGTGCACAGCGTGCTCTGGTTGATGAAGCGCAGGTTGTTCCCCTTCCTCCCCAGCACGCCCCCGCACAGCGAGCACGGGATCCCGATCGTCACCTGCCCCTTCGACGGCTGCCCGCTGATGTAAGTGTACTGCGTTCCTGGCGGCGCTGGCTTCGCCTGGTACTTCCGGAGCAGCGGCTGGCCGAGCGGGTAATTGAACGCGCCCACCGGACCTACCGGACCCACCGGACCCACTGGACCCATTGAAGCCATTGGACCCATTGGACCCATTGGACCCATTGGACCCATTGAAGCCATGGGGGCGGAGGAGGCGGGTCCCGCGGGGCTGCGGAAGGAGTTGACGGCGGGGTTGTCGACAAAGGGAGGAAGGGCGAGCGGGTCGGGGAAGAAGGAGGCGTTGGGGGAGGGAAAGAGCGGGCGCTGCATGTAGAAGGCGGGGTGGTCCGGAGAGAGGTAGGGAGGAGCCGCGGCGGGGAAGGCGGAGGGCTGCGATGAGGGTCGATTCTCGGAGGTGGAAACGGGGGCTGGGACGGAAGTGGAAGAAGAAGAAGAAGAAGAAGAAGAGGGAGGAATGGGAGTGGAGGAGGGAAGGGACGCAGAGGCCGAGGCGGAAATCGAAGTCGAAGGGACCGTTGAGGAGGTTGAGGGAGCCAACGGAGCCAAAGAAGCCGCTGAAGAAGCCGCTGAAGGAGCCGCTGAAGAAGCCAACGGAGCCAACGGAGCCAACGGAGCGATGGAAATGTCCAGAAGCGATTTGTTGGGAGCGATGGAACCAGGCAATGAAGTGGAAGCGGATGATGGAAGAGTGGAAGGAATCGTGGGGATCGTGGGGATCGTGGAAACTGTGGAAGCAGTAGAAGCAGTGGAAGCGGGAGGAGAAGTGAAAGGAACGCTGCTGGGCGGATCTACGCTTGAATGCGATGCGAAGGCACGACGGATGGTCGATCCATTCACGAAGCCAGCGCCCGCACCGGCTCCATGGGTCGCAGAAACGCCCGTGGAGGGAGTTTCACTGGAAGATTTCAAGTGAATCGTTAAGAACCACCAACCATCGATTCATTCATTCCTTCTTGCTTAGGATATAAAGTTCAGATCAGCGGTGGTCTTCTTATTGAGCGGATAGGGCGAGACCAGTCCGAGAATATCTTCAATGCAGCGCACAATGCTCTCCGCCACACCTTCGATATACAAATAGCCATCCGAGCTCGTGGTGTGGTGCCCACCCACGATAGGAGCATAGACATGGCAGTTGAACTCCGTTAGAAATCGCTGCAGATTGCTGCCCTTCTTCCCGATCACCGAGTTCACAATAGGAGTACTGAGGATCAATTTCAGCAGCACGACGTGCGGATCCTACGCTCACAGATCCTCTCGCAGGGCTACGATCTCGTGGTGAACCACCCAGTCGCGAACCATCGACTCGATCTGTCGTTTGGCGTCGGCGACTGCGCCGCCCGGCCCCGCCAAATCCACTCCTCGCGTCGAAAAGCCGGTGCAGGCGGAGATGTCGGGCGAAGGAGTGATGACAACGGAGGGGAACTTGCCCTGAATGTAGGACTTCGAACTGTCTTGCGGACACAGACGGTAGAAGGCTTGGATGGGGACGAACATGCGAATGGAAAGATCGCCGGGGTAGTTCTCGATGCTGTTTCCACCCGTGAAATCTTTGATGTAGTGGCTGGCTTGCGTAACATTCTCGGGACTGCCGATAATCAGCACAGAACGATTTCGACGGTCTGAAGGCGATTCGGTATCGGATGAAATGCGAATCTGCGTAACACGGACGAAAAAACGAATCTACTTCAACATGATACTCGTCGTTCAGTCGTTTGACGTTCGAGCCAACCTTCCCGATCAACTTTCCGGCACTACTCCAGGGAATGATGATTTGCTCCGAGTATTGGGAATCCGGTTGACCATCGCCCTTGTTAGGGAGTACCCCCAATATCTGGCTAATTGAATTGCAAATATTCTTCGTAGAACCACTAATTGTTACACAGCGCTCATTTGTTCCTTTGAATACAGATGGGTCGTTTGAAATATTGATTTTCACATTGAAATGATCCTAAAAATGTTAACTACAAACAACTGACATACCATAAGATCACTAATAAAGGTTTTCCCTCGTATCATGATGGAAGCCAAACTTCGCTCGTTTGCAAGAATACGTAAAAACATGGGTTCGGGGGTGAATGAAGAGGAAGCGAGCTGTGGATCTCCCTCCATATCATACGGACGCTTGCGGAGATTGCTGGGAAGCTGTCCGTAATTCATTGCACTTTCTGAGTTTCTAAGATCCCTTGAGAGAGATAGAAATAGGGCCAGATTCGGGGCAACGTGTCCCAAATGAAAGGAGAAACAAGTATTGTTTTCTCACTAATATCAACGTATTTGAGCTCAATATGGCCGCGATTGCTGTTCTCAAGAACTCTATGCTTAAACCGTCTCTTTGCCGCTTTGCTGGCACTGTAAATGCTGCGGTTTTCCAGAAGTACGGAAACCCGACGAATGTTTTGAGGTTTGAATTGACAGAATTACGTGATCCGATTAGAAGACAAAAGGTCCAATTGAAGGACGTTTCTAAGAATGATGTTCAGCTCCAGATGCTCGTTTCCTCTCTTTCGCGATATGATATGGATGTTGTAAGAAGAGTCGTTTGAATTAGTCAATCTTAGGTTCTTGGTAAGAATCCGCAGCCCTTCACTTTCCCCATGATCGGAGGAAACGAAGGAGTGGGAGTCGTCCAGAAGGTCGGCGAGCAGGTGTCTTCTCTCAAGGAGAAAGATACCGTGATGCTGATCCGTCCCTACAAGGGTTCGTAATGGATATCCGCGCTTATCGCATAGGAACCTGGGCCGAGCAAATGGTCGTTTCCGAGAACGACGTTCTGCCCGTGCCGGAAGGTCTGTCTGCCGAGTCCTGCTCGGTTCTTCTGAATTCTGCGGGTATTGCCTACCGCCTCCTCAACGACTTCGTGTCTCTGAAGAGCGGCGACGTGGTGCTCCAGAACGACGCCTCCTCGACGGTGGGTCTGGCCGTGATCGAGCTGTGCAAGGCTCGCGGCATCAAGACGGTGAACGTGGTGAAGGACTGCGGCAAGGGCAAGAACGACCTCTGCCAGCCCGCGAACCAGGTCGGCGGCGACGTGGTGATCCGCGAGTCGCAGCTGCAGAGCAATGTAGGAGCGACGGAGCCGCGCGAGGCGTAGGACTTCCAGAAGATCCTGAGCGACCTGCCCGCTCCGACACTGGTTCTGAACGCGCGCGGCGGCGCGGTGATGACGGGAATGAGCGCGCAGCTGCGGTAGGGAAGGGGAGGGGGCGCGACGCGTAGAAAGGGAGTGGTGGTCACGTACAACGAGACGACGCAGAGCCCGTTCTCGGTGAGCGCGTCGATGCTGATGAGTGGCGATATCTGTTTGAAGGGATTCAATATGAACGAGTGGCTGAGCGGAGCCAGCGTGCAGGACGTGAAGAGCATGGTGGACGAGCTGGCGGAGCTGGTGAAGAGCGATAAATTGCATCTGGGCGTGAAGAAGACGCAGTTCTCGGAGCTGGAGAAGCTGCCGCTCACTCATCTCTGCCCGTGTTTCCAGACTTATGTTCAGTCGATGGACCAGTAAGCGTTTCGTTTAATTCCAATCACAATTGTGGCGTGTTTGTGCAACAAAGACCGAAACCACACTTCCAATCAATCAATCAATCAATCGGTTCCGCTTCATACAAATACCCTGATACGAGTTGCTCCTCGATTAGTCGGACTTCTTCGCGTGCGTCTCTTTGAGCAGCGTTCGGAAGGCCTCCATGATCTGCTTGGTCTCGCTGGACACAATGTCGCTTCGCAGCAGGCCGCTCTTCTCGAAGAAATTGGCGATGGGCTTCGTGTAGGTGTAGACCACTCTCTGCGAACCCAGCTGAGCAGACACCGTCATTGTATATCTAGAGTTAAAATAAGGGACGAAAAGCGACTGGGGCTCTCCAAAACCGCTCACCGACGACACACGGAAATCGGTCGCTCCACAATACTTGCTTCCCTACGAATGAACAGCCAATTTTGGAAGGTACGGAGGGCAGGGATCCAATGAGGAAACAATCTCGGATCAGGAAGAAGTTAATGATGTAATCCACTCCACACAGAACATAGTACCTAGCAGTGATCCACCAACCGATTCAATACAGAATGCACAATATCAAGATCATTACTTTTCCGGAGAAAAAGTCCTTGTACATGAAATAACTAGCAAATCCACAACACACACTGGAATCGGTTAGATACGATCATGAAAAGATACTAGATCAATCTGACTATGTAGAGCAAACCGTCGTATACAAAATTGGGCTTGACTTCGTTTTCAGTGAAGGCCTAGCAATCAGGTCGCTCGAGATAGCGTATACATCGATGAAAACATTGTCCACAGCTTGCTTCATCACTTTGTTGTCTCCCAGTTCTGTAATAACTACAATCAATCCTAACCTAAACAGTGTACAAATTTCTTCTTTGTGTTTAATTGTCATGTCTGCACTATTACTTAGAATGAAAATGAAAAAGCAGCAAAAAACCGCGGATGTGCAAATTCCAAAAGTCGGGGTGTTTTTGCCATTCTCATCGATTCCCCAAATATTTGCGTGATTTGCTTGGTCTGATTCCCAAATGGCATGAATTTGAAAGTAGAATCACAAATAGGAAGAAGAAGGAAAGAAGTACATTAAGGACGCTTTTGGCCGCGATATTTTGTACACTTATTTGTTTGATTGTAAATGCCAGAATTCCCAGCAATAGTTCGGAAGGAAGAAAACGCTCGTGACTTTCCAATTGTTTTTGTTGATTTCTAGTCGAAGTCGTGACCGAGATACGAGTGGTTCCAGCAGCGAGAGTGATTCTGGGTTTGTTCCCTTGGTCGTTTTGAATCTAGGGATAGCGCTCACCGCCGTGAGTACAGTCGGTCGCACGGACATGGCGATGATCGGAGACGTCCTCACCATCATGTCGAGTTTTCCTTTTCTTTGTGAGAAGTAGCGTCATTATCCCGCAGAAGATAAGGAGCGGAGCATTCCCCACATTATCCTAGCCGATACCAACGCCCGATTAACATTCAAGGAGTATATCCGACGCCAAAGCAATAGCATTACGCCCGAAGCAGCCCGCAGAGGCTATCTAAAGTACCAATTCGATTATCGAGTGTCACCCAGTGAAATGAAGCGTTACGACGAAGAAGTTGCGAATCGCGTGTTCGACGCCCACTGCCACGAAGAATGGATGCAAGAGAAATACGTGCCGACCCGCATCCAGCAGCGTCTCCGCGAGCGGTACGAGGAAATCCACTCTCTTCATCGTCGTCTCAGCGAATTCATCGCCACCGGCCAAATCCTCACCGAGGTTTCCCCGTTTCCCCTTTTCAAGGGTAGGGCGAGAGCAGCTCCCCCTTCCAGCGCCGTCTGCAAGACGACATCGACTCGCACTGCATGTCTCAGCGGCCGACAGGCCTCATCGCGTAGCTTCATCGACAATCTTCCCTACGGCTGCTCCCGCGCCGAGTTCCGATCGCTTCTTTCTGCCCACGAAGGCGTCCAAGCCGTCTACGTCGGCCACCCGTTGATCTGCCCGCCCTCCGGACTGTACCGCGCCGCTTGGGTGTGCACCGCCACGGCGGAATCTGCGGAGAAGATCGTGGAGGAGCTCAGCAAGGGCACGGAGTTTTTGATCGATCCGATCACGCGAGAAAAGGGCCGAATGAAGCTGAACTGCTCGCTGCAGTCCTCCTTCAAGCAGGCATCGTGCATTCCCGCGGTTCTGAACACGGCCGAATCCGTCGCGGAGGACGTGTCGCTGAGTTTGAAGGCGCTGCGCGCGTTGGAGTCGTTCTGGGTAGCGAGTTCGAATCGAATTCGATGGTAGGAGGTGGACGTGTCCATGGAGCCCTGCCTGACAATGCTGAAAGAAGTGCGTCCCGACACCACCGACGTGGACTGCGTGTATGTCGTCGCGTGGTTTCTCCGGCATGTTTTTGGCTTCGATTATTGGCGGGTGGCCGAGGACGAAGACTTCGGAATTTCGCTGCAGGTGGGGAGTTTCGTCGGTGTTCGAATAGAAATTCGGCCGTGACATGATTCGGTCCGGCGGGCGAAACGGCAATCCGTCGCAGTCGGATCTGGACTGGGTGCGAAACCACCGCGAATCGGTGGGGCGTTTCATCGTGGAAAAGGAGAAGGAGACGGTGCGAGGAAAGCTGGAGGAGGAGACGGAGGCGCTGAAGCAGGAGAAGGCGATTCGAGAGAGTATTCCTGAGCTGTTGAAGAGTTTGGAGCGAAAGGAGGAAAATTGGAATTGCGAGGTGTGCGGAAAGGAGTTCGAGACGCAGGAAACGCTGGAGAATCATATTCGAAATTATCATAATGAGAAGGTGGAGGGAGTTGTGTTGGATGTGGGGAAGAAGGAGAGGAATGAGGTGTAGAGAGTGCTGAAGGAGATTTCGAAGGACATGTACTTGAATGATAAGACGAAAATCGTTCCGATTATTGATGACCCGAAGACGAGTAAGTCTCACTATTGCGTTGTTTGTTTTACACTTGGGAAGGACAGATTTCTCGATCTGCCTCAGAGGGTTGAACTTTAATTTCTTCCACTGTTCATGAATAATAAAGAGGTCATACTTTATTGCATTGAACGCAACATTCCTGTGCTTGTTTCGTAGGTGTCTTTTTGGCTGCTGTTGATTACTAGAATCAATTCATCCTTTTCTGTAAAACGATATGCTATAGTAAGATACGCTATTGACGTTGCATTGTAGGTATTTAGGTGGATTCGTTATATTTCATCGAACAATTGTGCTCGTAACGCTGGATTATTTGAATTATGGCATAGACTATGAAGCAGAGATATACTATTTAAATCTTTTGGCAAATCAGAGCCAGATTGTCAGTTCGGATCTCTTAGAGTTGGTCTCTCCAGAAGAACGTGAATTTGTGGTCGTTTATAAGCAGGAACTCTCTAAACTGAAGGCTAAACCCGTATTTTTTCATGATATCTCGATGGAGAATCTATTGATGTATGCTAGATCAAATAATATATATATTTTCAAGAATCTGATGAATAAGAGTGATTGCCCCTTTCTCGACTTGATTTATAGAGAATTCCGATGTTGCTGAGATTAAACAAGAAAAGCTGATTGAAATCAAACCCAAATTTAATGCATTCAACGTGGTATTTGGAAAGGAGAAGGAAGGAGAAAAGAAGGACAATGAACAAGTGAAAGGAACAGAAGGAAGGAAGCAGAAGGAGAAAGAGAAAGAGATAGAGAAGGAGAAAGAGAAAGAGAAAGAGAAAGAGAAAGAGAAAGAGAAAGAGAAAGAGAAAGAGAAAGAGAAAGAGAAAGAGAAAGAGAAAGAGAAAGAGAAAGAGAAAGAGAAGGAGAAGGAGAAAGAGAAGGAGAAGGAGAAGAAGAAAGAGAAAATGAAGGAAGACGAGGAAGACGAAATAGATTCTACCCAAAACGACAACAAGAACAAGAACAAAAACAAAAGCGACAACAAAAACAAAAACAAAAACAAAAGCAAAAGCAATAGCAAAAGCAATAGTAATAGCAATAGCAAAAGCAATGGTAATAACAATAGCAATAACAATAGTAATAGCAATAACAATAACAATAGCAATGACAATAACGCTGTTGTTGAAAAAACTTACATGGGTTCCTCCGGTCGAAAAAGGCGTCGCGTGTCCGAAGGCGACGATGCCAAGTGCGCTCACTACTCTCACTCAACTTCTAGTCAGCGAAACATGCGATCTCACACCATCGATATCATCTACGACAATCCACACCATCGCGTTCTTATCCTTTTTTCTTCCTCATCCCCAGCCGCTCTGCGCGTTCTGCTCGCTTCCCCTCACCACCAATCCGTCCATCACGCTCTCCTGCTCGCTCTGCGGCAAATCCTTTCACGATCGATGTGGCTGGGGGCGGTTCTATCCCTCTCCCGCGACCTCCTGGCGGTACAAACAGCCCGAGCCGTGGATCTGCTCGTTCTGCTTAGCCAATAAAAACGTCGATGTGTTTTCTCCGATCCGCCGAAAATGGGTGATGATGTATGTCGTGCGATTCGATCCCGCAACGGGACGCCACACGCTGAAATACCGCCAAGAGCTGTTTTCGCTGCGATTGAGGGACTATTTGGTTCGAAAGAACATGCGATGGAATCGGCCAGAAGCGGATATTTTGAATACGCCGACGAATAGCGGGCTCATCGAAAGCGGAGAGATCCGAAAGTATCGCGGAAACCAGGGATTGCAAGCATCGGAAGACTTGAATTGGCATTGTTTGCCGCAAGTGGTGGGGGAATCGGTGTGTGTTGAGTGTAGCTTGTGTTTCAAAGCAATCCGCATCCGAAGGAAAGCCATATCTATGCGGTGGTGTATCGAAAGTAGGCGATTTGGGACTGAAGTCGAATAGATACGCGTTCGATGGGTCCATCGATGTGTTGGTGCTGTGGGACGAGGGATCGCTGATGGAGGCGCAGTGGATTCCGCAGAGTCGAATGCGGAATCACGGCGAGAAGGAGCTTCGCGACTACTTCAACGCCCAGTTGCTGTTTTCGTCTCTCTGGAAGCACGTGCTGAATATTGCAGAAGTGAGAAACGAGAGAGAGCCGCTGAACGCTAGGAACAGCATTATTATCAAGAGTTCTCGCCGCTGTTTCTGCCGTACAGCGTGGTGATCAGCACGACGGATCGCAACGACGATTGCGCGGCTTGTCACAGAGAGCGGAACGTGGGAATTGGGAAGAAAGATCGAGTGTAGTCGCAGCTGATTCTCTGCGACCAGTGCAACACGTCGTATCATTTCTGCTGCGTAGATCCGCCCATCACAGAACTGCCGACGGTACGATTGGCTTGCTGCGTTGAGCAAAGGGAACGTGGTTCTGTCCGCGCTGTCGACTTTGGCCGAACGATATCGACCGAGGCAGGGACGTTAGCAAATCGAGCTGCTGGTTTGCTGGCGGCTTTTCGACTTCCATGTCGGGCTATTCGCTGAGTTTGCTTCCGACTGGCCCCGAAATGTTGGAGCGAGAAGAGCGCGAAGTGGACCAAGTCGATCACATTGTGCAGCTCTCGGAGAAGCGAAGCGAATTTAAAGAGCTGGAACTGCCTTCTACGCAGTCGAGTCTGCAGGAATACCAGTATGAAAGCGACGAACTCCATCAAGGCCACTCCAAATTCGTTAGTCTCTACGAGGCATGCCTGAATCCAGCATTTTCTCATCTCTAGAACGAGCGAATTCTGCGCGTTTTGGAGTCTCTCGACAAGTATCAAGTCGCTCATTTATTCGCGAATGCGCACGCAGGTCAGAAACGCGTTGCAGCCTGCGTCGTTCATCATCTCTTCGCCAGCAACCGGCTGCGTGGTCCCATTTTGCTTCTCTGCTCTCTGGACACGCTGGATTCCTGGCTCGACACGCTCCACACGTTCACCAAGCTCAAAATCGCGGTGCTGAGCAGTGCTGCTTCATTCTTTTTTCATTTACGAATAGACTCTCCGAGCGACCGTCGGATTCAGTGGGCCAATTATTTCGGAGACTTGAAGTCGGTGTATTACGGCGAGTTCAACGTGGTGGTGATGACGCTCTCTGCGTTCCGCGCCAAAAACATGCTGGATATGTCGTATCTTCGCGAGATCAGCGTGTCGCTCGTGATCGGCGACGATCTCTTCAAGTACGTTCCGATCGACTGGTTTGATTTCAAGCCGCGGAAGCCAGCTGTTGAGAGCCAATCATTCTGCACGCGAATTGCGCGACGTTTTCGGTCGCATCATGGAAATGAAGTGGGAGTTTTCTTGATATGCTTCGTAACTCAACAGACCGATTTTTGTGTTTCTTCTGTGGCCAATGGACTCGCCGCTCCTCGACATTTCGGTTCCGTTCATCGAGCTCTGCGATATCCTGATTCCGTACTACAACGGCGAAGAGATTTCCCGCGGCAAGGAAAGCAATCAGGAGTTTCTCCGCGATTTGTACCATGGATTCAACACGAATAGTCTGGCGGAACACTGTCTGGCGGACGATATTCCGTCCTTTATCTCCATGTCCTTCGAAGAGCGAACGCATCGCAGCGGTTTCCTTCTGGAAACGCTGCTTCTGTGTCCAGTCACAGCCGTCCAAGCGAACTGTTTCCACTCTCTCTGGGCTCGCTGGGGATTTCTTCTGACGTCTCGAAAGAAGGAATCGCTGTTTAACGACGTGCTGATGAGCAGTTATCTGGAGATGATTCGAATCTACACGCATCCGTTTTTGTCTGGGTGTTCGGAGTCGCTGGCGTGCATTCGCGAAGAGAAATGGACGGAAAGCTTTCGGAAAGCGTCTGGAAAGGTTCTGGTGATGGAGTATGTGATGAAAAGCATGCGGCAGGTTGGACGTTCGGCTTCTTCTTTATGTGTAGGACTTGAAAACGGAGTTTTTCGGAGTCTACGCGAAGTCGATTCGGTGCTGTCAGTACTTGGAGAAATACTTTACGCTGTGCGGGTTTGATGTGTTCTGGTATTTTTTTGATCGGTGATTGAGTTGAAAGCATCTTCGGTGTTCGCACGCTGCAGGAGTTTCAAGCCACAATCCAGAATTGTCGAGAGAGACAGGGCGGCGAAAAGCCTGCTATTATCATTCTGGGAACGATTCCCGCTGGGATTTCCGTGCAGCTGGACTTCTTAACAAATTTATTTATATTCCATTCGGACGACGAGCCTCAAATCGAGCTGGATTACATCCGAATCTTTTTCGGCATCGGGGAATCGCAGGTATTATTTTTTAACTCGAGAATGGTTTATCATGCAGCCAGTACATATAATGCGTCTCATTATTGCGTGCTCTTTCGAGCTCGAGCAGTTCATCGAAGATTCGCAGTTCCTGAAGGAGCGAAGCTATCTCATCAGCCACCAGATCAACAAGTTCGCTTCCTACATTAACCAATATCTAAGCGCGTTCGATCAAGAATGCTACACCGAATTCATCAATAGCGTTGTCGAATCATTCAATCATACCGTTTAGTCACTCAATTATCTGAACGTTGATACGGTTCGTCCGATTCCGATCGATCCAACCACTCACACGCTCTCAGACTTCGCGCTGCAGTATCTTGTATGCACCACCAACTGTTTCAGAATAGAAACCCATCATTCCCGAGGTCGATAAAATGGAAGTGCTGAGCACAATCCATATAGTGACTCCCGTCCAGCAGCTTCTCGAGTCGCTATGGGCGTGTGGCTCTGCGGATGACTCATTCTTCGCTTTGGCGGGAGAAATCTTTGCGCTTGCTCCGGATTGCCTGAAAGATGAATCGAAAGTAGTTCCAAAAATGAGATTTAATGGGGTAGGATTTGACGGCACTCGATGAGAAAGTATTGGAGACCTGCTCCCAAATGGATCTTTTATTGTGTCATTTGTTACAACGATTAATTGATCTGTCGGGAGGACTTGTGCTCGAGGACGAGCTTAGCATTCGCAGAAAACGAAAAGCGAAGACACGTTTTGAGGATGTTTTGAAATGCGTTCCTATTGTTAGAATGAGATTGCGTGAATTACTTGTAGTTCTATCGATGTAAAGAATACCTAAAAAGAAATAGGCTAGCGATGCGTTTTAATAATTATTGGATTATTGTTCCATATCAAGATATATTTAGGAGAATTTAATTATTGTTTGTACTAACAATGAGTGAATGTGTCATCCCTTCCAATATGAGGCAGCTGCCCAGAGTAGTTGTAAGTATATATTACATTTTCTTGATGTAATCGATGGGAATAAACACAAAACGAAACAGAATGAACCAAATTTGTTATTTGTTCTTGAGAAGCCGTAATTAAATGTGGAAATGCTACTCAGAGGAGTGCTAAAATGATGTGAGTATCTGTCAGCGGCAAATTCGCAATTACAAAAGAATAGTTGAACGTGCATTATTGTAACATACTGCTCACTGTATTTATTACTCCACCATTGTTGTGATTTTATAAATGCAAAACCCAGCCAGTTAAACGTACAACGCACATTTTATGGTAGTTTGTTTATCTGTAAGGAAATACCAAAGAATGTAACATAGTAAAAGCTAATATTGAAAGTGATACTAGGAATCATTGAGGAGTGGGTAATTTCCATGTCTCTTGACTATTATTCATCAACCATTAGTTCAATAAGGCCAACAAATAATCAGTATACAAAATAACACGTAATGATTCTGGATAAAATAGTGTTAGGAAAGCATTTTTTGCTCACGAATCATTGGATGAACGAAGTAGATTTTACCTAACACTCTCGCTATTAGGATATTTTCATTATTATTATTATTATTATTTTAATATTTTATATTATATTATGTCTGACACTGTATTGACTTATCTTCCTGTGAAGGCGCGGGCTGAGGGTATCAAAATTGCACTTAATTTGGCTCATATTCCATTCACTTATCGTACGACCGTCGACTGGCCAGCTCAGAAAGAAGAATGGACCAAAAATGGAACTTTGCCCTTTGGTCAGCTACCTGTTCTTCATATTGATGGAATGGATATTGTTCAAACTTTGGCCATTTATCAATACATTTCTCGCAAGTATTATTTCAATAATGATAGAGATGATTTGTAGATATCTATCGAAAGATATGGATGAAGTGACCAATGTTCATCTTGATATAATGATGAATGGATGGAACGATTTGCTTCTCTTGTATTACAAGCATGCTTTTCAAGACAAAACGGGTCTTCCGGAATTCTTATCTATTTCAAGAAAGAAGCATCTGACAAACTTGGAAAACCTGTATATTCGTTATGGAGTATTTACTATATGATATCATTATTAATGCATAGAAACGATTTATGGTTTCGGATGTTCCCACAATTGCAGATGCTTTTGCTTATTCTACCGTGATTGACATGGAGCGCAAATGCGAAGATTCGCTTGAAGGATTCCCTACTCTGAAGAAATGGAGAGCTGATTTTGAGAGTTTGGATGAAGTGAAGGCTTATTTGGCTTTATGATAGAAATGACTGATTTCTATGTTCTATGAATTTACAATTGTGTTATAGTATTGTGTTGTTTGTTGAGACCATTCTATTTATAGACAATATCATTTTGAATCTACAAATTATCAATCCTTCTTGTGTTTGATATTTGCTATACTGAATATATTATAAATAAATGAAAGGCATACACAAAACATATATTGATAATGATTAAGTATAAACGGTAATTCAATCCTGATTTCGTATTATCATGAAGTTTAAAACAAAATAGTAAGCAAACAAAAGCAAAACACAAATACTACTAATTATCGATTATACAGTTGAAAAATGATAATATTCGTTTTTTATGAACAAAGCAAGGTAAACTGTATTGTGATTCGTTTGTATGTGTGAAAAATAACCAATACCCTGCGAATCGATCTTACATCATATCAATTCTACCAATCGCACATTCTTATTATTTTCCGATAGAGAGTACACACCGTTAATCAAACAAACATCCATATCAGTCCTTTGAACTATATAATACAGATATCAGCTCAGGAAGCCACATTGAATTAGTCCACGATATCTCTTAAAGTATTTCTTTGTTGTATGCACAAGATTTTGCTCCCTCAGGGAATGATTATCTTATTTTCTTACTTGGATGGTATATAAACAATCGTTTAGGAATATGGTTTTCAAATTATTCAGTAGTGCTAAATCTCTGAAAGTGGATACTCGAAACATCAACAATAATCATTCGGTCAAGAATACAATACAAAATACACAATATTGACCCCTAATACAAAGGATCTTACATAGTGTAAACATAGTACAGTGAATAGTCTAACATAGTGATTATTCACAATCCATGTTTCTTGATTTATACTGAATTGCAACAATTGCACATCACCAATACTTGTTTGCTTAAAATGATTCTGGGCAGAATTTGTAACATAATCTCTATATCAAAAAGAGAGCATTACAGCCCCAATAATAATAATAATAATAATAATAATAATAATAATAATAATAATAATAATAATAATAATAATAATAATAATCACTAGAGTCCATTGCACAAAAATGGTTAATCATATTACTATTTCTATAAGTTAATGACGACAATTCGTATCTAGGAGGATATTTTATTCTAATTGTCATATCTACAACAAATGAACTACCTTCTTATCGCTATTGACTCTCTTTTCATCTGTTGTAATTTCTTTTGATACTCTCTTACTTTGCAGCCCTCGTTTCAAAAATTGTATAGTGACCAAGCCGAATTCACACTTCGACAAATTGTAAAGAAGCATTCATCTTATGAATATATATATTTGTAATGAGACTAGTGAAACTGGTACTCCAATATACAAAGAAGAAGCGACGTCTTTTGAAAATAACAAGAAGAATAACGATTCAAAAGTCTATTACTTCTCTTATGGTACGTACTATATTGTGTTGGGTAATACAAACTCAAACACCTGAGATGAAAATTCAAAGCTTATTATCAAACAAAATGAACAAATTATGGCAGTTTTAGCCTGTTCATGTAAGAAACTGAGGGTTTGCAAGGTTAATTTTCCTATTGATGCACCCATTTCTTGGCAGTATTCTTCAACTCCTCAGTTGAATGACTCATGAGGAATAAGAACTCTTGATTGGCCAAGCTATACGGAAGTTTTTCCAGTACTTAGTACTATAACACGCTATTTCCGTCATTCAGTAGTAGTAGGAAAATGGCGCATAAAGCGCGAAAATTTTTTCGGCCTTTTTTCTGCCATTTTTTTCCTGACCTCCTTTTTTCTACCTGGCCTCCTTTTTTCAACCTGGCAACCTTGATGGCCATGGCGCATAAAGCGCGAAAATTTTTTCGGACCTTTTTCTGCCATTTTTATTCCTGGCCTCCTTTTTCGACCATTTCCTACCTGGTCACCTCGAGTACCATGGCGCATAAAGCGCGAAAACCTTTTCGACTATTTTCTACCAATGTGGTAATTGTCTGCCCTTTATATAATGGTAAAGAGAGAAAGACCATGCACTACTCCATGCTTATACAAGGCTCACCTACCAACGGCTCATTCACTTGGATGAACCCGTACAAGTACAAGAATCCTTACATCACTTCCATGACTGTCCTGTTTCGACCCAAGGATGCCCAGGCTATGTTCAACAATGTGGACACGACGAACATTGTCACGAATTCGAATGACGAGACTGTAACAATCCCTGCTGGTTATTACACGATCAGTGAGATCATTGCCTTGCTCAATACCATGACCGATACTACATTCTCCATATCGACGAATGCCTCGTCGTTCGGTTGTATTTGGATTCAGTCTCCACACACCATTGACTTCACGGATGCACCTGACATTCGTGAGATCCTCGGTTTGGAAGGACGAACGATCATTCTACCTGCTTCGTTCAGTGGATCGAACGTGATTGATATCACGCGAAATCGACAAGTGATTCAGGTCTACTCGACGATCGTGCGATCATCGGACCTGAAGATTGCCAACCAGAACAACAACCTGCTCACCACGATGATAATTGACGATCCAACGGCTGACTACGTGCGAAGTGTGGAAGACGTGTGTATTCCAATGATCACTCGGTTTGATCGGTTGATGTTCGTGTTCCGCGATATGGAAGGCAAGATGCTACGACTGAATGGTGAATTCGAACTCCAGTTGACGATTGAGGATGTGTACGAGCAAAGTGAAAATAGCGTCACTTCTGCTAATCAGTTCTCCATGATCGAAGTGTTCGGTAATACTACGAAGAAGGAAGTGAAGCTGGACAATCCTCTCTCGTTCGACCAGTGCTACATCTCGTCTGTGTCGTTGTATACGGACTTCGTGTTGCACAACGTGCCGACTGACCAAGTGGTGCTAATCAATGCTGGCGCTACGATTCAAGAGATCGCGATACCACGCGGTGCATATGACATCGAAACGATCATTGCAAAGCTGAATGCAAGTGATGCCCTGTTCGAATTGGTGTATAGCGGTGAGAATGCGTTCCACATCACGGTAGATCACTTCTACATGATTGATTTCACGAATGCACCAGAGATCCAATCGATCCTCGGATTCGAATCGGACATCTTGGTGAAAGGAGTGGATAACCCGAAGCGCTACTACTTGTCGTCCTCGTGTAATCACGTGGTTGTTACTGATGGCAGGGAATCGCACATGTTGACAATGCCTGTCGGTTACTACACGTTCTCCGAGTTCATCGAGGCTGTCGGTGCTGAAATGGTGAAAGTGCTTCCACTCACATCCATGACGATCGAGGATGATCATGTTCGCTTCAATGTCCAAGCAGACGGATGGTATTTCGATCGATCCAGCGTTGACACGACGATCAATGGTTTTGGTTGGACTCCATGGTTCAAGCTGTCTCCATCTGTGCAGAACCTGTGCATCGAACGACCAGTGGAAGCTTCGTTCAACCCTGAAAGCGATTCCCCACCTGATATGACGAATGATCAAGGTATTGGTGGTCATGCGTACATAGGATCAAACACCTTCATTGCGTATGACTGGAAAATGCGTACGAATGATAATCGGTTCCTGCTAAAGCCTCTCGCGACATACACGATGCGTTTAGCTGATGGTTCAGTACTCGATAGTGGTGAATTCTACATAACGGAAGATACGTCTACCCCGATCAAGATGAATACTCTTACAACCACATGTTTTAATGAACTCAATGCTCGATATGCGAGTGCTATGGAACTACCTCCATCTCACCAGAATGCGATTGCGTGGACGGTGAATGACAATAGAGAAAGCATGTCATGGACTGCGAAGGACTATGCACCAGAATTGGAATTGCATATCACATCGGAAAATACAGGTGACTTGGTGTCATCGAATGGTTCTTCGATCGGACCTTGGTATTCCAAGGATAGTATATATCACACGAAAGTGTTTATCGATACGACGAATTTTATACTTGGAATACGTGGATATGGCGAAAGACCTCTCACAATCCAACGAGGTCATTATAGCGCTGTTGATATCGTGAATATGATCGCTAATGTGATCAATAAGATATATGTAGATGCGTCTCTCGGAAGGTACTTGGTATATGTCATTGCAGATAATGGTGGTCGAGTACGAATGGGATGTCGAAATGGTACAGAACCACGATTCATATTGTTTTGTGATAATCCATGTTTCAAGATTACACCCGGACCATACGCTGAACCAGGTGGTGTGTATTTGTCTTGTTTTTTCGAGTTTTATCGCAATTACTACATCAGAATGCCCGAGTTGACATCACCTTACGAGTTTGCGATGGCGAACATCGATGGACTGAATGTGACGAATATGATCAAAGGTAGTACGTATTCCGATCGTGCTGTGTCGATCGAATTCATACAACCGACACGTGTTACGTATGTCGGTCTTCACCCATCATTGGCTACCTTCGTTGACTGGGAACAATCTGAGTCGTACACGGCTAACACGACGATTCGCTTCCCGTACGGAATGATGACACTGGGCGAAGAGGGAAGCAGTGCTTCCCCCGAGACTGATATCACTTACACGGATGACATTCAAACACTCACGTGGACCATACCATCACGGTTGACACAGGCTGACATGATATGGCACATGAACCAGTGTTTTGACTCGGCTGCACTGAACATACGATGGAAAGCTGAGACAGATGGGTACTACATTCACGCGGACCACGTGTTCTCGTTGAGTGGCAACCTGGGAACCATAGTTCCCGCTTCAGGATCGCAATCGCATACATGGCGTATCCCTTTCGACGATGGTGTGTACTATGCCAACTATGGTCCATTGGTTGCCGAGTATCCTGTCGATATCACGAACGGTCTATCGAACATACAGCTGTATTGCAACATCGTGAAAAGCAAGACGATACCACTGCTTGCGAATGTCCCGATGGACAGCTTGTACAAGAATTACTTCTACAAGAATCGCATGTTGGTACCATGTTCTGAATTGCTTGATCGCATCGTGTACGAATTGAAGGACGAAAATGGTGACCCG